TTTTTTCTTTTCTCATAGCTTTTCCTTTCTCTCTTTTCCTTTCCCCTTCCCCTCCCTTCACTCCTTCATCTTTGGTACCATGCTGTTTTTATCACAGTAGTTTTGTAGTATAGTTTCAAGTTGGGGATTATGATAGGCCCAGCCATGTCTCTTGCTTAGAATTGCTATTGGTATTCTAGGTCTAATCTGGTTCCAAATGAATTTTTGGATTGTTTTCTCTAGTTCTGTGAAGTATGTTGTGGGAATTTCAATTGACATTGCATTAAATCTATATAGCAATTTTGGAAGTATGATCATTTTCACTATATTGGTTCTTACTACCCAGGAACAAGGGATATCTTTCCATTTTCTTATATCCTCTTTGATCTCTTTTTTCAGAGTGCTGCAGTTTTCAGCATAGAGGTCTTTTGCCTCCTTTGTTAGATTGATTCCTAGATATTGCATTGTTTGGATGCTATTGTGAAAAGAATTGTTTCCCTAATTTGTCTCTCACTGAGACTGTCATTTGTGTACAAGAAGGCTATTGTATTTTGAGTGTTCACCCTGTATCCAGCTACTCTATTGAATCTGTCAATTAAGTCTTGAAGTCTCTTGGAAGAGTTTTTTGGGTCTTCTATGTAAAGTATCATATCGTCAGCAAATAATGACAGTTTAACTTCTTCCTTTCCTATCTTTATTCCTCTTATTTCTTTCTATTTTCTAATTGCTGTGGCTAATGTTTCCAGAACTATGTTGAACAGGAGTGGTGATAGTGGACATCCTTATCTTGTTCCTGATTTCAGAGTGAAAGTTTTCAATTTTTTACCATTAAGTATGATGTTGGCCATTGGTTTTTCATAGATAGCCTTAATCAGGTTGAGATAAAGACCTTCTATTCCAATTTTCCATAGGGTTTTTATGATGAATGTGTGTTGGATTTTGTCAAATGCCTTTTCTGCATCTATTGAGATGATCGTATGGTTTTTATCCTTGGGTCTGTTAATATAGTGTATTACATTTATTGATTTACATATGTTTTACCATCCTTGCATTCCTGGGATAAAACAAACTTGGTCAGGGTGTATGATCTTCTTGATGACCCTCTGTATTCTGTTCACCAGTATCTTGTTGAGGATTTTCACATCTATATTCATTATTGAGATTGGCCTGTAGTTCTCTTTTTGGGTTGGATCTTTCCCTGGTTTTGGATGCAAAGTCACACTTGCTTCCGGGAATGAATTTGGAAGCCCTGCTTCCCTTTCAATTTCCTTGATGAGTTTAAAGAGTAATGGTGATAGTTCTTCTTTAAATGTCTTGTAGAATTCAGCAGTACAGCCATGAGGACCTGGGCTTTTCTTTTTTGGTAAATTTTTTATTACATTTTCAATTTCATTCATTGTAATTGAGGTGTTTAGAATACCTACATCTTCTTCATTTACCTTTGGCAATTCATATGTATCTAGGAATCTGTCCATTTCTTCTGTGTTTTCCATTTTATTAGAGTACAGGTTCTCAGGGTAGGTATTGATGATCCTCTGGATTTCTGCTGGATCTGTTGTGACCTCTCCTTGTTCATTTTAATTGCATGGATTTGAGCATTTTCTTTCCTTTTTTGATAAGGTTGGCTAAAGGTTTATTGATTTTATTTATTCTTTCAAAAAACCAACTCTTTGATTCATTGTTTTTTGTATTGTTTTCTTAATCTCCATTGCATTGATTTCTGCTCTGATCTTTATAATTTCCTCTCTTGTATGAGTTTTGGATTTGTTATGCTCTACTTTTTGTAGGACCTTGAGGTTCTGCATTAGGTTATTTGTCTGAGTTCACTCTGTTTTCCTAATATGGGCATTGACTGCTATGAATTTCCCACATAGAACTGCTTTCATTGTGTCCCATAGATTCCTTATGTTGTACTGGCATTATCATTTACTTGTAGAAACTGTTTAAATTCTTCTTTAATTTCCTCTGTGAACTATTTTTTGTTCAGGAGGGTGTTATTCAATTTCCATGTGTTTGTTGGGGTTTTGTGGTTTCTTATGTTATTGATCTCCAATTTTATTGCACTATGGTCTGATAATATACAGGGGGTAATTTCAATTCTTTTACATTTACTTAAACATGTCCTATGAGCTAGCATGTGGTCTATTTTGGAGAATGACCCATGTGCAGCCAAAAAGAATGTGTATTCTGATTTTGTGGGGTGGAACACTCTGTAAACATCTATTAAGTCCATTTGTTCAATAGCTTGGTTCAGTTCTAGAATTTCCTTGTTAATTTTTTGTCTAGATGATCTGTCTATTTGTGATAGTGGGGTATTGAGGTCCCAGACTACAATTGCATTAGTGCTTATTTGGTTTTTCATGTCAATTAATATTTGTTTTGTATAGTTGGGGGCATTCGTATTTGGTGCATATATATTTATGATTGTCATCTCTTCCTCTTGGATTGTTCTCTTCACACAGATATAGTGAACATCTTTGTCTCTCTTAATTGGTTTTGGTTTGAAATCTACTCTGTCTGCAAATAAGATTGCTATTGCTGCTTTTTTCTGGGCTCCTGTCATGTGGAGAAGTGTTTTCCATCCTTTTATTTTCAGTCTGTAAATTTCTTTTTGAGTTAGGTGTGTTTCTTGTATACA